CATGTTTTTATCCAAAATGCTTTAACCTTTTGGCAGGTCCACCATATATGATAATATGTAGCATCGAGAGAACCACATCTCCACCGGTTCCAGTTTTATATTAATCTTTAAAAACCTCTGAAGCAGTGTATGCATTTGGACCAGTGGTGGGATTCAGGCGGTTCGCACTGGTTTGGCAGAACCAATAACTAATTTTTTGTTGAGTTTGGCAAACCAGCTCAAAAATGGCCAGACTAGCATGTATTCATGTTCCTCCAACTTTAGTGTAGCCTGTGTGGACATAAAGTTCACATAGATCAGTTGCCACAACTTCAGTTCTCTGCCTAAATCAACATTTGCATTAGCAATGTTGTAAGTTTCAATGGAGGCATTTGATTTAAAGATGTTGATCAAAATCAGATCCATGGCATGATATACTTACATGTGGACTGGAACGGATATATAGCTGATCCAGTCCACATGTACAAATGCCATATTATGGATCTGTTGTCATTCCATTGCTTCTCTTCAGCCCTTTCTCTGGACCTTCTGCATGTCCTCAGTGCATAAACAGATGCCATTTGACTCAAAGCCTGGATGAAGCCAATCAACCTTGCTTGATATGCCATGCTGTTGGGTGGCATTTGGAGTTTCTCTGTTTGGCAAGGCAGGTCAGGTGGCTTTTATGGCTCAAAATGAAGTACCAAGACTGATTCATGCCTTCTGCATAACCTAATTTGCCTTCTTGGTCTAGAAATGCCTGCAGCCCATTCCTGAAGGCCCAGGGGTCCTTTTCTGTAGACTTTGTCAAATCATCTTCCTTCAGAAATCTCTTTCCTCCAGTCTCATGGTATTCTGGAAACATTTCAGTGTTGCAAATCATTTTGCTGAAGGATGTGTGTATTCAGTGTGTCACAACCCTGGAAAGGATTGTGACACACTGAGAGGTGATAACAAACATAAAGCTCTGGGCTACAACTCTGAAGATACACAATTCTTCTGATCTGCCTTTAATAGTTGGGAATGGAAATTCCATATATTCTGATCATAGCTGAACCCAAAGCCAGAGCCAACATCTGTGTTCTCTTTATAATATTTGTAAAATGTTTGCTCTAATACAGACTTTTGTGAATAAAATTAAATGATGTATTGGCAGTTACTAGAATGGCTAAGCTTATGCCATTGAACAGCACTGCCCTCCAGATGATGTAGTTCTTGTAGGGATCCAGGAAGCCTTCAGAGGAGGCATAACACCAATTTCCTATGGTGATATGCCAGTTCCACAACAAGCAGGGTCAAGAGATAGCTTAGTCTGTTGTTTAAGCATCTTTGCATCGTGTGATTCATGCCAACTGCATCATGCACACACCACTGAAACGCTGTGACCAGTATTGGCAATGGATACAAACACAGTCATAGTGTAAAAACTACTAGGGAAAATGAAAACTTAAAGTAAGAATGGAAAGCTAATGGATACAGAAAGAAGCATAGAAAGACACATCATGCTTAGTACTTAAGGGCTAAATGAACATTACAATTACTTGCTGGTGAGGCAGAGTAACACCTGGGAGGCTCCTGGGCTGGTTGGTCAGCCACACCATGGCTTCTGTAAGTTACACCTGATATCCTCCAGAGTAAGCCTGGCTAACGGTCTGGATCCTTTTCTTCCCAGCCTGTGACCAGCTTGCCCTGGGCGTTGTAGCCATTTTTGGGCCTTCTCAGGGCTCATGCACCAATGCGGTCCAGTCCATCTGCAATGCACTGGAAGTTCCTCACATACAGCTGCGGTGGAAGCATCACCCTTTGGACAATAAGGACACCTTTTATGTCAATCTCTACCCGGATTATGCCTCTCTCAGCCATGCCATCTTGGACCTTGTACAGTATCTGAAGTGGCGGTCGGCCACTGTGGTGTACGATGATAGCACAGGTAAGTTGGACCATTGTCAAAAATGTCTCCATTGGCCTTATTCCCTAAGCCTCAGGGAAAATATGGATGGTGGCTACCAAGAAAGGGAACAAGTGTTAAAGTTGCCCACATTCAGGAGAATGGACTGGACTGGCCCTGTCACCAGAGTCTCTTGCAGCTATTTCCTGGGCTCTTCCAATGGTGATAGTCCTGTTTTCACTAGTGTGGGCTGCCCTTGTACTCCAACTCCTCTTTTGTTGGGCAATCTTTAATTTTCTCTCTGCGTTGTAAGTTCTGTCATGTGATGTTTCTTTGAGTAAAGACCTGACTCTGCCAGTTGGCTGAAGGCTTCCCATTGGGATGGTTGACTGACTAATAACAGATCTCTCACACACTCCACTCATCCTATTTCCACCCACCCCTTTTTAATTAGGGTTGAGTATTTATCTTTTTATTATTATTTAGTTCCTATAGTGTATAGGTTTTGTAAAATTTTATCTTTTTAATATTGCAAATCACCTAGAATTGCCTTGGGGTAAGATGGGTGGTCAATACATTTAATTAATAAATAAATAGTATAAATGTATTAAAATAATATTAATATGCTACTAAATAATATTTCTAACACTTCGGAGTGGCTGCAAAATGAGTGCTACTAGCATATTAAATAATAATGGTTGCCTCTTGTAATCTGCTAGAACTTATTCATTTCTTTTAGTGGGTCTCCATGGTCATGTATATGGAGATTCTCAGTCACCCAGATCATGGTTGTCCATGTTGCCATGAACTGAGGAAGCTTCTCGGATGAGAAGCAAAACATCTTCAAGGAAAAACAAAGTCCAGTTGCCTTTTGAAAAAGCACCTTTGAGCCTCCTTGGTAATGTTTCTCCTTGGCTACAATAGGAAAAGGCTGTCCCTCTCCCTGCCCTTAGTCTTTCTTATGGCAGTCTGATGACCTTCCTCAGATGACTGCTAGGCTAGACTTTCTCCTTCAGATCTCAAATAGGGAAGGGTCCAGTTTTGCTGTCTTTCCCCAGAGGAGAGAGAACTGGTGATTCCCCCATCAAGGAGATACTTGAACCAACAGCATGCACCCATTTTCTGGAGGAGATGTCAGAGGATTGCTTCTGGCACTAGATGCCATTTAATGACACTTGTTCTTCTCAGCTTTCATTTCCTTAGCTTGAACTTGCTGCTGCTGTTGCTGTAATTGCAAAACCTGCTCACCTATGTAGATTCAGCAATACTTTGTCTGGGCCAGGTGTTTTTCTGAATTGTTTTGGGATAACACAATAGCATAATTGCAATCACAGATTATTCTTCTGTACAATGGAATAAATTTTCTCTAATGAGCATTTGTCTGAACTTTCAAATCCATTTGACATTGGGAAGACAGCTTTTTATGGCCCTGTATAATTCAGAGTGCTAGATTCACCAACCTGGATCAGTCCAGAGCACCCCAGAAATTCTCCAGTGAAAAAATTCTGTCCTCTCATGACTCTGTACTGCCTTGTTCTCTCTTAAGAAGCAGTAGTATGGGTGTTGTGGCCCATCAGAGCTGGCAGCAGATTCGGACAGTGGGAAGGTTGAGGAGGAACATGGACCAGTCCTGGGGTCTGGGGAAGGCTCTGTGTCAGAGGCAGAGAGGGGACCAGAGCCCTATGCTTTCAGAGCATATCAGCTGCTTTCAGAGTCAGACATCAGTGAGGCAGATGAACAGCTGGAGCCTGTTCCCAGTGTGCCAGACAAAGGGAACAACTAAGGAACAGGGGTTGACTTGGGAGTAAGTCCACAGGTGGATGATGAATGGCCCCTCCCATAGGAAATAAAAGAGGAAAGGGGAGTGGAGTTTGNCCCCCCCCCCTTTTTGAACTGTGAGCCGCCCTGAGTCCCCCCAGGGAAAAGGGCGGCATACAAATAAAGGGAAATGAAAAATGAAAAAAAAATCATGGCCATCTCCTACATCAGCCTTACAATGAAATAAAATTAGTTCATGTTGTGTCTCCTGTCTGGTTTACCTGGGAGGGTTGATAGCAAACCACATGGTTTGCTATCACATGCTATCACATCACAAATGAATCACATGGTTGCTAAGCAAATCCAGCTTTCCCCAATTGACTTCACTTGTCAGAGGCTGGAAGGAGAGGTCATAAATCATGATCATGTGACCAGAAGACACGGCAGCTGTCATAAATGCAAGTCAGTTGCCACGTGCCTGAACTGCAATTTCATATGACTAAGGAATGGTGCGATGCTCATAATTTCAAGGACAGCCTGCAAGTGTCTTTTTCCAAGGCCATTGCAACTAACTTCAGACCATTATTAAATGAATGGTTGTAAGTTGAGGATTACCTGTACCTGGAGTTACTCCCATTCTTTTGTACTTTGCTGCAAGGAGCTTGTTTGGGGGAAGGAAAGGAAAATAGCTTGGGAAGAGACGCAGAGTGATCCGTCACAGAGGCCATGGGATGCCTCCGTTGGTTGAACAAATGCATCTTTTTCAGCCAGGGAAGTAAACTTGGAGGGGGTGGGGGTGGGGAAGAATCTCTTCAGTTTCTCTTGTTTGTTCCCACCATGTCACTTCCAGCCCCCGTAACCTCAGCTGGGGTCTGCTGGGGCCTGACTTTATCTCCAGAGCAAAACTTGTCCATGGAAACAACATTTCATTTTTAAAATTACATCCTCCCCCTCCTGCCCCCCCCGCCCCTGGTACCCAGCCCTGCCAGTAAAGTGATATTTTGGTGACCACTACCATTGTTATCTTTCCTGAGCAGCTTCTGCAACTGTCTGATAGCTTCAGAGCTGGAACCTTGTTTCTGAAGTCAAAATCGAAGATAAGGAAGACGGTGTTTTGGGGCAGGTGAAAATAATGGAAATAAAAGACCAGATAAACCACCGCAACAAGTGTTGTTTTCCTGAAATGTCAGCTGAAGTGTAGACAAGATGTAGGCCCTGCTCACAGGTGCCTATGCTGTGGGATTGCTGCAATGCTCTCTCCCCACTGGCTGCCCTTGGAGCGCATTTAGAAGCTTCAGCTGGTGCAAAACACAGCAGCAAGTGCTGTCGTGCTACTGGATGCAGCGTATGCCTGCCTGCTCTATTAGCTGCATTGGCTTCCTAAGTGTAGCCAGGTGCAATTTAAAATGCTGGGAGTCACCTATAAAGCCCTTCATGGCTTCAGCCATGTGACTTATGGGACTTTTCTCTCCCCACCAGTATCTACCTGGCCCATTAGATCGCAGAGGAGAGGCAAGATCTGGGTCTCGTCCATGACAGAGAGCCATCTGGCAGGACCTTGGAAGAGAGGGTGGGATTGACCATCAGACCAGTCTGTGGACCCTCATCCCCCTGGAGGGCCTGCTGGCTTTTTGCAAGGCATTTATTACCGAGTCATGCAGTTGAACCTGATAGTTTTAAAGCCATGCTGCAGAAAATTAGTTCAGGGTATGCTATGAGAAATATATCAGTAGCATTGAAAAGAAAGCCGAAAGCAGAACTGGGCAGAATGGAAATGAGGGGAAGAATTCTTTGGATTGAAGAAGCAACTGAAGGAGACATTCCCTGGCTTTAGCTCACAAGAAAGATGGAAATCTGAGGATTTGCCCACACCATAAAGAATTAAACAAATACGTTTAAGCAGAGTCTTATAATAGCCTGATATGAGTGAATTCTTAGCAGAATCTCCATAGATTTCCCTAGATATTCTGAGCAGAACTTGCAGGCACAATGCTGAATGAATCAGCTAAATTTTGATATATACTGCTGGATGAAAAACAACAACATAGCTTTGTATTTTTAATACATCAGATCAATTTTCAGTGCAGGCGGGCAGGCCGAAGTGTTTCAGTGCACCACACAATTGATGAAAGGCACTCCAAGAATCAGGATGTACATGAAGGACACTCTTGTGTAACACTGATAAAAGCTGATTTAAAGAAACAAAACAAAACAAACAAACAGGTTATCCAATATTAAAGTACAAGATGTACAGTATTTTGTAGGAATATTAGTGAAAGATTCCATTAAATCAGACAAGGCAAAAAAAAGGCAGTTGCAGTCATGCCAAAACTGACATACTAGAAACAAACTTAGAAGTTCATGGGAAAATGTAAATAATGTCACAAAACTGAAGAGTAGCTTGAGTGATGTTTTATTCCAGGAAAAAAGATCCTGCAACAAAACACACATTTCATGAATCAGATTTTTTTTGGGGTGGGGGAGGGAAACCAATAAGTTGGAATGCTACTTAGATTCAAATATTTTCATTTCTATCTATATGGAAGAAAGTTGAGAGGGTAACCAATCACGAATCCTTGATTATCATCCTGCTGAGAAAACTAATTTATATCCAGAATAACGGGGTGAACTGTGATCCTAAAAGCTAGGGAAGTAGCTTACAGCAGAACCACCCACTGGGCCATCACATCTGGCGGCAAATCACATAGGCCACAAAAGCAGGAGAAGTTCTTCAGGCCGTTTGTCTGGTGATTTGAGGGCATGCCAAGGATGCTGGATGTTTCAGTCTCTCTTGTCTGAGCTGTCCAAATATAAAGGCTTTTGTGTCAAGATCACCAGAAGATCATGCCTCACTCATTACAGGATACAAATTTAATTTGCCTGAATGATGTTAACATGGGGTTGGGATGGCGAACCTATGGCATGCAGAGCCATTTGTCAGGGCATGAGAGGCATTTATTTATTTATTAGACTTATATACAGCTTCATAGGGCTTTCAGCCCTCTCTAAGCGGTTTACAATTTTTTTTAGCAAATTGAGTCAGCAACTTGCCCCCACAGTCCGGGCCCTCATTTCACCCACCTCGGAAGGATGGAAGGCTGAGTCGACCTTGAGCCGGTGAGNACAGAGAATTAATTGATACAGAACATTTCTGTCCCCAGCAATCTAAAATTAATACAGTTATCAGTGCATGTAACATAGATATTTTGCGGGTAAGATTATCAATCTTGCTGTCAAGCAAAACCATGTGTTTAATTGTGAGTGCCATACCATGTGCTCTAATCAAATAGGCGGCAGGAAAGTAGGGTCAGTCAGGCACAACAGTAGACACAGGGTCAATCAAAATGGACTCAAATGTCTATACACCAATGCAAAGAGTATGAGGAATAAACAGAGTGAATTAGAAATTCAAGCAAATGAGGGCAAATATGATATTGTTTCCATTATGGAAACTTGGTGGAATGAAATCCACAAATGGAACATATAAATAAAAGAGGAGGTGGAGTTGCACTATATATAAGAAAACTACATGTCTACAGAAATAGAGCACAACAATGACGAAAATTCTTTTGAATGCATTTGGGTCAATATTAAGGGGGGGAACTGTATTTATTAAATTATTAAATTTTATTAAAATGACATTGCTATAGGTGTGTACTATAGGCCACCCAACCAAACAGAGGAAATAGATGAACTTTTTGCTAGTCAGCTAACTAAGGTATGTAGGAAGCACATCACAATAGTAATTGGCGATTTTAACTACCCTGCCATCAACTGGGAGACAAACTCTGCACCAAGTAGAAGATCCAACAGGTTCCTAACAAACCTAGCAGACAACTTTATTTCCCAAAAAGTAGAGAAGGGAAAAAAGGGGATCAACCATATTGGACTTAATCCTCACTAACAGAGATGAAATGATAGAAGATGTTGAAGCTACAGGAACCTTGGGAGTGAGTGATCATACAATATTGGAATTCAACATTATGGAAGCATAAGCAATAAAACAAAGTCAAGCTAGAGTCTTGGACTTTAAGAGACCTGATTTCAATAAACAGAGAGAACTTGGGAAGGATTCCATGGATAAGAATCCTCAAGGGGAAAACAAATCAAGAAGCTTGGAAAATTTGAATTGTCTAGTTTAAAGAAAAGAAGGACCAGGAGAGACATGATAGCAATCTTCCAATATCTCAGGGGATGCCACAAAAAAGAGGGAGTCAAGCTATTCTCCAAAGCATCTGAAGGCAGGACAAGAAGCAATGG